GCAGGATTCAAAATACATGATTTAAGATTCAGTATTCAATATTCCAGATTCTGCTGGATACTCCGAATTTTTTGGATTGTTTGGATTTTTCTGCAGTTTTCCTAATTCGTAACGTAATATCGGAGTAGTATATAAAAACTTAGGATCTGCTACAGGGGAACCTTTAAAAAGCATTATGCGGGTCACTCTGTAATTGAGCGCCAGCTTGTTAAGGGGCACAGAACAAGAGAGACAATAAATACATAAATGGCAGCAAATTCAAGGTCCCGGGCTCCGAAGAGTTGTCAATTTTTTTCCCGATTCTTGAAGGCTGTTCAAAATTATTTAAGATTTTTTTATTCTTATGAGACGAATTGCAAGGTGGGTGGGAATAGAGGGAAAGTTTGTAGAGTAAATTTCTGGTAACCTACTTCGCGTTTCTTTTAAATTACTTTTGATACTAATAATTTTTTTTAAGAATTTCTACGAAAAGTTTTCACATTTCAAAGAAGCTTCCTAGGGTTTTTTTGTAAGGAAATTATTTTATAATAATAAAAGATTTTTTGGCAGATTTCCAAAAGCATTTCGAATTTTACAAAAATGCCCTTGAAGGGTTTCAGATATTCGCTTGATCGCTTTTTAGCGCATTTTTGCAAATTTATTTGTAAAAAGTAGCTTTTAATCTCACTTTGGCTGGCTGGCTGGCTGGCTGGCAGCAAATGTGGGCGCGTAGAAGAACTCTTGTAGAAAGGCAACGGGTGTACGTGTATCTACAGGGCCGTGAAATTTGGCAACCTTAGGGACATGGCTACATGATGTGGGGTTGGCGACATCTGGGCGTCATCCTCGAGCGTAGTATACTAACGTGAAGGTTTTTCAGTTTTTTCCTATCTTCTACTACAGTTTTGGTCCGTTTCTTTTGAAATTGGTGTCGTCGGAAAGATGTTGTAAACGCGCACAACTCCTGCGTGGCGGAATTTTGTTTTTTGTCATAGGGGCGAAATTAACGACCTTTTGCGAGACGCGCGCGCGCGTCTTCGAGAAGTAGTCAGGCGCCTTTTACCTTCCGTTGCGAACTCACGCGGTTTAACGTTTCGTGAATCTCGAATCGCTGTCTCTCTTTATCGTGTCGCCAATAGAAGTGAATTGCGAGTGAACGGGACGTCGGAAGTGGGTACCGTCAACGGGAATGTGGTAGCCCCCGACACGATCTTCCTGATGGTGGAGTCAAATCTTCAAACGCGAATTGCGGGGGAACGGGACGTCGGAAGTGGGTACCGTAAAAGGGAATGTGGTAGCCCGCGACACGATCTCACTGATGGTGGAGTAAAATCTTCAATCGCGAATTGCGGGTGAACGGGACGTCGGAAGGGGGTACCGTCAAAGGAAATGTGGTAGCCCCCGACACGATTTTCCTGATGGTGGAGTCAAATCTTCAAACGCGAATTGCTGGTGAACGGGACGTCGGAAGGAGGTACCGTCAAAGGGAATGTGGTAGCCCCCGACACGATCTCACTGATGGTGGAGTCAAATCTTCAATCGCGAATTGCGGGTGAACGGGACGTCGGAAGGGGGTACCGTTAAAGGAAATGTGGTAGCCCCCGACACGATCTTCCTGATGGTGGAGTCTAATCTTCAAACGCGAATTGCGGGTGAACGGGACGTCGGAAGGCGGTACCGTCAAAGGGAATGTGGTAGCCCCCGACACGATCTTCCTGATGGTGGAGTCAAATCTTCAAACGCGAATTGCGGGTGAACGGGACGTCGGAAGTGGATACCGTAAAAGGGAATGTGGTAGCCCGCGACACGATCTCCCTGATGGTGGAGTCAAATCTTCAATCGCGAATTGCGGGTGAACAGGACGTCGGAAGGGGGTACCGTCAAAGGAAATGTGGTAGCCCCCGACACGATCTTCCTGATGGTGGAGTCAAATCTTCAAACGCGAATTGCCGGTGAACGGGACGTCGGAAGTGGGTACGTAAAAGGAAATGTGGTAGCCCCCGACACGATCTTCCTGATGGTGGAGTCAAATCCTCAAACGCGAATTGCGGGTGAACGGGACGTCGGAAGTGGGTACCGTAAAAGGGAATGTGGTAGCCCGCGACACGATCTCACTGATGGTGGAGTAAAATCTTCAATCGCGAATTGCGGGTGAACGGGACGTCGGAAGGGGGTACCGTCAAAGGAAATGTGGTAGCCCCCGACACGATCTTCCTGATGGTGGAGTCAAATCTTCAAACGCGAATTGCCGGTGAACGGGACGTCGGAAGTGGGTACGTAAAAGGGAATGTGGTAGCCCCCGACACGATCTCACTGATGGTGGAGTCAAATCTTCAATCGCGAATTGCGGGTGAACGGTGACGTCGGAAGGGGGTACCGTCAAAGGAAATGTGGTAAGGCCCCTGGGACGACACGATCTTCCTGATGGTGGAGTCAAATCTAAATCTTCAAAAACGCGGAATTGGTCGGGTGAACGGACGTCGGAAGTGGGTACGCGTAAAAGGGAATGTGGGTGCCCGCGACACGATCTCACTGATGGTGGAGTCAATTTCTTACAAACGCGAATTGCTGGTGAAGCGGGACGTCGGAAGGAGGTACCGTCAAGGGAATGTGGTAGCCCGACACGATCTTCCTGATGGTGGAGTCAAATCTTCAAACGGCGAATTGCGGGTGAACGGGACGTCGAAGTGGGTAACGTAAAGGGCAATGTGGTAGCCCGCGACACGATCTCACTGAATGGTATGAGTCAAATCTTCAAACGCGAATGGCTGGTGAACGGGACGTCGGAAGGAGGTACCGTCAAAGGGAATGTGGTAGCCCCCGACACGATCTTCCTGATGGTGGAGTCAAATCTTCAAACGCGAATTGCGGGTGAACGGGACGTCGGAAGTGGGTACCGTAAAGGGAATGTGGTAGCCCGCGACACGATCTCACTGATGGTGGAGTCAAATCTTCAATCGCGAATTGCGGGTGAACGGGACGTCGGAAGGGGGTAC